AATAATGCATAATTTCATTTGATAAACACGTTTAGATTGAATGGTAATTTATAATCAGTCACAAGAACGTCGAATCTGAATCACTTGAAAAAAACACGGAGGTGCTTAACTTTTTTCCAGGTGCCCATTTTAATTCACGAAAATGCATAATTTTGAAAGTTTTGGTCAGTTACTCAGCCAATTTACATGAAATTTGGTACAAAGATGCTTTTCTACAGGTCCCACACATTGACAAACAAAAATGGTGAACTTGCCCATTTTAAGTCACAAAAATGCATAATTTTGGTCAGTTACTCGGCCAATTTATATGAGATTTGGTACAAAGATGCTTTTCTACAGGTTCCACGTTGACAAACAAAAATGGTGGACTTCCAACAACAGAAGTTTTTAAGACTTTTGACAATTTCCAGGTTTTGTCTCACTATTCGAAAAAACATCTATGCTGTTTTTTCTAAAGAAACTAAACCTACATTTTTTTTCTCAAAAGATTTCATGTTTATAAAATGCTTTTATTTAGTGAAAATTAGCTCACTTTCACCCATCTTGCACAGATCTATTACTTTGTTACAAGAGGTACAACACACTGTATAGTGATATCATTTGTGTTCTCTGACCCCATTTTTAACTTCATCTTGGTCTTATCATTTCCCATTGACTATACACTTTTCCATGATAAAAAAACAAGATAATACAGCATTCAATTCGTGGAAATAGGCTTATTCAGACATCAGATATTTTCAGCAAAAAATGTACACATAGAATAAGCTGGACACTTGCTGCATCACACTGACACTAGAGAACCGCATTATCAAAATTATTTTATGGTGAAGAAAAGATTGCAGAAACCACAAGAAGGTTAAACAAGGTGCTACTCTGGTGAATACAAAGACATATACAAATCCAACTTCTTTGTATATCATTGTGTTGGATGCATGAAAATTTATATTTTCACCAATTTTCTTCTTCATTGCTATAAATATGACCACACAGGAGCTCAAAACATATATTTTTGAATTGTTTGACTTTTGACCCCATAAAATCCTTAAAAAGGCTTAAATGAAATAGATGTATTGAACCAAGCTTTAAGGCCAATCAGTTGATTGAAAAGTGTTTGGAAGAAGAAGAAACAATAGAAAAACAGTATATATCTCTCTGTGGAGACATAATTAATATGCATAAACTCACAGTTCTAATTATCTAAACAGAAACATGGATTTTATTTGAATAATCTTTTGTAAATTTGAATGTGATAGCTTTGTAAAATGCTTGAAAGTCCTGGAATTGTATTCATATTTCACAAATGCTTTAAGTAGTAATTTTTTAAAACATTTTTTCTTCAAGTACCTAAACATACTGAATATTAAATTATCAAACCTGTGTAAACAAAGAAATACCAGGTACATTTTTTTATAAACTGAATATATATTCACAAATTAGTCTGTTTATTTTCTGTTTTTTGTGCCTTAGATAAGGGTTAACTTAAAAGATATTTAAAACATTATGGTATAGAAACAATAAGAAGTATTGTTGTTTCAAAGGTATTTTAGTCAGTGTAGATATTATAGGGTTTTGGTTTTAATGGACTTTTCTGCCTGTTTCTGAAATGGGACAACATTTTGACTTCCATAAGTCAAAATGTTGTACCACCAGAAACTGGTAGAAGCAGTTTGTTAAAGATGAAACTACTGATGGTAAGCAATACCATTTTTTTTTAATTTAGAATTTGAGTACAAATCTGATCACACACACACCCGTGAGACTTAATAAAACATTTAATATGTAATTTATAATTAGTGCACAGCAGATAATGGAAATATAAAGTTTCTATAATTATGTTAGCTTATGATAATTTTCATTCCATTTTCTCAGGGTTTCAGTTACGAGCTGCCTTAATTAACCAGACATACAATCCTCCAAATATCCATGAACTCTTTGGTGACATTATACCACCAGATTTGACCCAAATGTTCCCAGTACAGCGTCGAAGATTCCACAAAAGAACCAGTTCAGCTCTGTGGCATTCTCCTGTTAGACCCCAGATGACAATGACAAAAACGTGATAAATGTTGCTGCTATGCTGACCGAGTGTGTTAGATTGGACAAGTTTTCACAGTCATCAGGAGGATGTTTTTTCCATTGTAATTAATGTTTAAAATGTTAAAGGATTCTCCATAGATTCTTTGTTTACTTCCCTAATAAAAATAAGCTTTATTTAACCACCAAATCAGGCTTTGCTACTTGTTTAAAAAATTGATGGTTATGTGGGAACAGTGAAAGAATGTCCCTAAGAAAAGTATGGGGCTAAGATGGGTTTTTTACCAACAGCCATTCGAAATGTTCACCATACTTTCTAAATCATTACAGTTGAGCAAACATTTTGAAGCAATTATTGATTATTAGAAAATCCTAGAAAGGCACAAGACTCTAAGATCAAGTTCACAATAAAATAAGATATTCTTCATTTAAGAAACATTGAAGTATCTAAGAAGAATCTGATAACATTTTGAAATTCGTATTGAATGTTTTATAATTTACTAAAACATCTCTGTACTGTCATGCTATACTGTCATAAATAAACTGTAGATGTGAAAATTTTTCTTAGTTTCTATTTTACAAGTATTACACTGATGGTAATTGAGCTACTCCTAAAAGTATGAATATGCTTTAGATATAAGGTTTTAATACTGTAAATGTTGAAAGATTCAGTATCAGTTTTCAAGAGTTATAAAGTAAATATAAATAGCAGTTAAAATTGGAAATGTTCAATATATTTATTTGCCTTAAAAATGTTGAAATTTCCATTAGTTTGCACCTAAGGACAAAATATCACACAGCAGTGTTAGGCTTAAATACTTTTATTAACATTGCTAATAAAATAATACATTTCTTTCTTTAGGATTTGTATGACTAATCAGTGAATATTTTCTCATAAAAATCATGTGAAAAACAATTAATTTAAAAAATTTATTGATATTGTGTAACATAATTTAGGATTGCTATTTGCATCAATTATTGTTTGTAGTGTACAAATTCACAAACATAAAACTTAGTGTGAACTTGAAATTTTTCAGTTTTACTGACTAGATATCACTGAATATTATACACTGCAGGATTTTTTATAGCAATAAATTATACATCTACTGTAACGATTTTCAACACAATCATAATGATTACTAATGAAGTGAAAAACATGCACATTATCTCTGTAAAGCTATTTTCTTAAATTCTTATCAATGGCCTCCTAATTTAAATCCAAAATATTTTAAAGTACAGTACCTATTAACCTCTCAATTAGGTATAATACTTTTATAAAAATGAACAAAATGTATAATTTACCCCATTGATTTAACTTAAATTTAGATTTCCCAAACACAGTGAACACATCAGAAGTTTGGAATTTAAAACACTTTTTAAAAGTCAACCCACAGCAAGCATCATCTGACATTTCTAATATTGTCTAATTGTTCCTTTTTTGCCTTTGTTATATAATATCTGGTTGACATAGGATTCCAGAAGATCATCCATCTTGTAACCCTAACAAAGAGATAAATAATGCATATTTTAAACTTGATTTCTAATAAGAATAAAAAATAACATAACCATGTATTATAAATGCTTTGCATTCAAGGTTTTAATGGTTTTACAGAATAAAACTTTTTTTACAGTGTTTTATCAGGTGAGATACAATCACGGATGCTAACAGAAATTAAAGTTTCTGTTAGTCTCTGTTCTTATATCTCACCTGATCCTGCCAGTTAAACTTAGTAAAATCGTTGTAAGCAAAATAAACAAAAGTTTTACTACGTACGCCTGATAAAACTTTGAAATTAAAAATGAGAAAACAAGTTCTTTCTAATATTTAATAGTATGAATACTTTTTAAACTCTCATGGAATAAAACTATAAATACCATATTTTGGCTCTGGTATAGGTAAGAAGTAAAAGTAACAAGTCTACCTATGTATATAGATTACATTCTTTCAACATTACAATGATCAATAAAAACTCTATATTGTGCTTGTTTTACTCTATAGAATTCTTATTACTGAGTAACCTAAACTCCAAGCTCTTTACGTAATATTTAAGTGTTCTTGATATTTTGCTAGGAAAGAAAAATGGGGACCTTTTCGATTACTTTATCCTGGACAAATGTTGGTAATACCCATATCAAGATTAATGTAACTGAAAACTGTCTAATGAGTTATAAAAGATAAATTCTATTTATTTGGAAGATATCAATTGTATAACTGACAGATTGTGTGATTAGGAAACTATACTAGCTGGACCTAATTTTTAATTGATAGACTAGAAAGAAGGCAGCTAGTCAACAGTACCCACTGCTAAACTCTTGTGTTATTCTAAATCAATTATTGGCATTGACCATCATTCTTATAATGCACCCATGAACCCACAAAAAGGAGCATGGTTTTTGCAGTAAGGGACATGAACCACGGACCTTCTAATTCACAATCCAACATGCTAATTACTAAGCCATGCCTGGTCCCCAACATTATTATGCTCATACCTAAAATTGAAGGTAAAATTCTTACCAGTTTAGGTGAAAAATGAGTTAATTGTGAAATGTAGAACCAAATTAAACACAACACTTGCAGTGTACCATAAATTATTTTATCGTGTGTGTTTATATACACATACACACACAGATATATATATATATACCTAAATAGTAAACTTTTTTTATACTGTTATATCCTATCTTTGTAAAAGAACAAATGGTGAGTTATAGAAAAAAATTTTTAATTCACATTTGAGGATTATTAGTATTTCTATTTTGCTATTCCAAAAACAATGTGACAATTATGTTTGTAATTGATTGTTCACCTTAAGGTTTCAAGTAAATGCTGAGTTAAAGACATTGTAGGAATTCTACATTAAAGTTTTATATACCAGCTTGAATAATGAGATAAAATTGAATTTAATAAAAGTGATAAAACTAGAATAGATTTAAAACATTTTCAGAAAATAATCTTAGATCTTTGTCTTCTTCATAAACATATATTTTGTTTTCCACTAATTAGACAATCAGAACAAAAAACAGATTATGTGACATAAAATAGTTAATATGTATAACCAGTTCACTCTTACCAATGATGTTTCACACAAAAGCTTGTTGCCGCGTACAAAGCTACCAATAGTAATGTGGAAGTAGGTGTTTCCACTACTCCAGTTGGAAATGTTGGTGAACGGGTGTGTAGCCAGGATATCCTAAGCAAACAAAAATTGCCAATAACTTTTTTTATGTAGTAAAGTGAAGAACAAAACAGATTTATGTACTGAAATGGGAATGATTATAGTATAGTACAAATATTTATTTAGTAAAAAAAACATAAGTGGAAAAAATAGCCATATCTTATATAATCACGTTAGGTTTTATTGTGAAAAGGATATCCAAAATATGAAGTGTTTTAATAATATTTTGAACATGAAAGAGTGACATCATGCAAGCCACCATGGAAATCTAGAAGAGTATAGAGTAGCTTTCAATGTATTGTTATAAGTTTCTCATTTCCGGTGCAATACTACCAGGTGTTAGGTATAAAGATGTTAGAGATGTATTGTTTTAAAAATAAAGAATGGTCGAGAGAAACTATACTGAGTGGTGATAAAGTAGAATAAAAGCGAGATATGGAGATTGATTAAAAAATAAATGCTTAAAAGATAACACATAAATTATCGTAAGTAAGTAATAACACATCAAAATATTATAAAAGTTAAAATGATGTAATGAAGAAATAACCACTTTTAAACAGGGTTCTTTATCATGTATTTTCTTTTACATACAAATGGTTTAACTCGTATAGTAGAGATTTAATAAGTACTGAGTTGAGCTTGCTAAATTTTATGTGATGTATTGGCAAAACGGACTTATTATGTACACTGATTTCATGTTACTGGTGTTTTTAATATCCTTTTCACCTTCATGTTTTGGCCCACTTCTCCGAGTTAGACCAGTTTTGGGAAGAAACATTTCTTGTCAGTAACCCTTGATTTTTCCAAAACAAAGAAAAATTAGAATAAATCATTAATCTTATTTCATGATGGTGTTAACATATTATTTTTATTGTCAAAAAAGTATCAGTACAGTATTGACAGTTTGATGAACATAAGTAATGTAACACAGTTCATGGTTGATGTACAAGTTCATGGCATTCACGTAGCACTTTTTTCGTTCCTACCACAACTATTCCCAACTTAGGGGGAAAATATTTATAAAAATTCTGGAATGCGTTTCTGTCCAATTTTGGGGTCTGAATGTTACATAGATAATAAGAACATTTACATGTTATTTTCTTGAATTAATGTCAAGATTTATTGTTCATCATGCAGTTAAGTTTACAAGAATTTGTGAAAAAGAAAATTTACTAATTTTTTACCCGTTTCTCTGGATCAATCAAACTAACACCGTGTCTGTTGATAGCAATAAGCAAGGTTTCAGGATAGCTTGGGTCACTTGTTTGCTGCAAATAAAATAGTTATCTCTTAGATTTAGATTTTTTATATATATAATGTGATTTAACAGTATGTCTAAATCATTACGTAGTATGCTTCTAAAAACATATTTCAGTACTTTAATATTAAGTTGCATCATTTTATGATTCAGATTTTATCATGCTTAACATAAATGTGATTATATTCTTTTCATTACTTACATATTCATAAACAAAGTCTCTCCCAAGAAAAAATATACTTTATTATTATCTGACTAAAATCCACATATTTGTTACATGTATGAAATCTAAAATATAACACACATGTACAGGAGGGTCAAAGTACATGACATGATCTTATTTTCTTTAATTACAATCAAAATTTATGTAAACAATCTTATTATCAATGCACGTCAATAAGCTTGGCATCAAAAGTTAGCTTATAATTCAATGTTTTAATTTCAAAGGGAAATATATTTAAATAAAATCTTCACCTGCACACTGAAATGTCCATTTTTAATTTTCCATCTGAGTGTTTAACTAAATTATATATACATACTGTAGGTGTTGACAAGTTGGAATATAAAGTTAGAACCTCCAATCTTCTTACTTTACTGAGATATAGACAAAAATCATATATCATGCCCTTCCCTTATCATTCTGCCTTTCAAAAAATGTCATTGTTATTGTGTTATTTATAACCAATAGAAAGAGCAGCATTTCGTTTACATGATTTCTCATATGGGTTGTTTTGTTTTGGTGTCTGTAATTAGATATTTAACCTCAGTTTCAATGCTTGCAATTGTGGTGTTAGCTTATTTCAGCTAATGCATTTTTTAACCTACTAATAGCTTATTTAGAAATCCAATTGAATTACAGTAATTTTAAGACCTTCTATTTTAGTGTGAGATCAATTTTTGTGTTCTAAAATGCATATTTAAAATAAACATGAATAATTTTGTAAACAACATTACCACATTTAGGTTTAAAGTGCTTTGCCTATCGATGGCAAAAATCCTGGTTCCAAAAGTACATACTGATTCTCTTGCTTTTTTAAGTATATCTTTTACTTATTGCTATAAAAATAACTAAAATGTAATTTTTTTTTTATTTATTGTTATAAAATTAAATAAATTACAAAAACTTTAAATAAAAACATTTCTCGTGATCCTCGATATTCTAGCATGCATACTTTGTTTGGCGTAATTGTAACTCAATTGTTTGTTCACACAAAGTTGTCCTGCTGTAATAAATGGTTTTTGCATACTCTGAGATAGTATAAGTACACCTATAAAGCAATAAAACCAAATGAAAGCAGACCTTTGCTAATAAGAATAACTAAGTGTAATTCTAGAAATAAAAAGTAATTTAGACTTGTTTCATATTTTTAACTTTACTGTACATCGCTGATTTTGTTACAGTTGGTGTTAGGGTAGAGAAAATATAGTTAAAAACAAACAAACTGATACTCATTTATGATGTTCTAGAGGTTATGCAAATAAAATATATAAAACTATGATGAAAAGAAGTATTTTTGTTCTTATCACCAAAATCACATTTAAATCAGACTGACTCCGTAAAGACTTCGTAAATTCTCAGACACATTTTTAGTAGAAAAACTTTATTAAAAATTCAAGATTCTTTTGTGTATGACAGACTTTTCATGTTACTAAAAGCTTGCGAAATTTCATGAAGATACATAGAGTAATTTCAGAATTACGATAAACCTAATTTCTCCAACATGGCATCAATCAAGTGGACTGACCCATGAACAAAGGGATAGATGATGAAGGAAAGAGTTTTATCTGGTTATAGATATATAACATTTCACAATTATAAATGTAGCTTTTGCAACACAAAAGTAATTAACACACTAAATGTAGTTATTTTTCTAGATGACTAATATTCCATTGTAAATTTAAGTCATGATAACTTGATATAAATACAATGCATAAACACATGAAAAGAGCTCATATTTTAAGAGGCACGTGTCAAGTATTCCTGCAAAGATAATATAAGACTGAACTAATATTGTGGTAATTTCAGATGCTAAAATAAAATAGCCTTACTAGCAATTGCTAGTTCGTTAATCCTCTAACTCAGTTGGTAAAACATTAGCCTGGCATCTAGGAGGTCTTCGGTTTGATATTGAGACGAGAAAATAATAATTACTAAAAAAATTGGTGTCTAGCATGCGGCTGTCCTACAACACTGAAGTAATACCTAAGGATGGATCTTGTTTGTGAGAGGGAAAAAAAATGTGGTAATTTCAGTTGTTGAAAAGAAAAAAAAAGTTCATTACTAGCAATTGTCAGTGGTCAACTCCTCAGCTTAGATGGTAAAGTACTTGCCTGGTGTCCAGAAGGTTTTTGGGTTCAACAGAGTCAAGGAAGGAAAACCAAAATGACTACCACAATGTAAGCTTTATTGTTACTGCATTGTTTTTACCTTTACTTGAAAGAATGCTGAACCAAAAGTAGGCCACTTGTAGATCATATCAAGGAATCTGAGTTTGGCTTCATCTTGTGACACTCCAGTATCTTTATTGTATTCTGCTGTGATTACCTATGGAGATAAAGTGTTTCTGATGTTACCAACAACTTTTTTTTGCATCACAATACACTGTCTGGTGAAAATACACTATTAGTGGATGCTCTTCAAATGACAAAAGGGTAGAAGGTATAAAATATGTGATATATCAAAATGTTCAAGTTATTTACAAAATAATGCCCACTACACTTAATTTTCATTATGAAAGCACAAAACAAATTATTTGTAATGTATTAAAACCACATGATTACCTAAAGAAACCACAGGCACCTAATTTTGTTAAAATTGAGGGCAAGTGTAACAAAGAAATGGCTAGTGAAAACGAGGCAATTTTTAGCTAAGAAAATTTCCAAATTGTGGCATTTGCCTTTTCTCTCTCTCTTCCCCCCTCCCATTTAGGTACCTATGAAAGGAATCAGTGCAATAGATGAATATCACACACTGGAAATAATTCAAACTGCTTTTAACCAAGTATTTGATTTTACTTTCAATCTTAGATTGGAAAACAAAAAATAGCTCACAGACTGGAAAAAGCAGGCATTTATTATATGCATATAAAATAAACTTTAAGCTTTGGCACATGGAAGGTCTATAAACATGCAAGAACTACAATTACATTATTTTTTTCTCCAAAATCATTGTGCATGCAAAAAAAAAACTCAGCTTTGTTTTCAAGATCATGTAGAACACTTAACAACTTGGATTTTGATTTGTTGTAACTGCTTGTGTTTGTGTTGATAAATGCTATCACAAAGCTAAGTAGATGAACTATTTTTAACAAAGAATGGTGAATTTTTTGTAAAGCATTCTTAGAGAGGTGGCTCACCATAATTTTTAAACATTATCTTTACCAGCTGGATAAAGCACCACATTTTCTATGGAGTTCTTGAATTTTGCCCAAATCCAAGATGGCCAACATTCACTGTCAAAAATCATTATCCCAGGTTACAGAAGTCAAAAGAAGGCTCAATTTATATCACAATAAGGGTTTGAGGGAAACATTCTCCAGTAACAAAGTCACGTGATAAAACAAATTAATGATAGTGGCTATATTTTTTGTCCTATTCTGTTGTAGACATCACTCAAATTTTGAGTGATCAAGAGAAATGTATGGATATTGTACTTTTTATGCACAACAAATTGACTTCCTATGATTTCTATGGACCTTTGTATAGTAATCCAAGGATGCAAAAATTGCACACATGTATGGAAAAGCTGTGCCTCTGTGTGAATTATACCATTCACCTTGTCTCTTTAGTTTACACATTCCTTTTTAATCCTTTAAATTGCATGATGTCGTTAACATATGTTGAAAACATCACTTAGCATTTGTACCTAAACATTAAGCTTGCACTTATATTTCTTATTTTTAAGCATGTGAAGACATAAAATGGAATTATACTCTACAGAATCAATGCCATCTGTGTTAGCCTTAGAAAGCTGAGGTCATAATTCTTGCTAGTTTTCGACACATTTTCTGGTTACAACACAACATCCTTCAAAGGTAAGGTAAAAAAATCAGACTGACAGCCCTGTGAAAAGTTCACATATACATTTATGTTCTTGGCCTGCCACTCCTTTGAGTTACTGTATTTAGACTCCCATCACTTCCACAAGCTTGGACTGTTGTCATGTATAACAAGGCAAGATTAATTTTTTATACCATGGACAAACTGCCACCCACTTAGATGAGACACATTTTTATGTTATTCACATTGTGACCAATAATATAATTACATAGTGTTTTTTCATGTCATATGGTAAACAATTATACTTCATAATGCTCTACTTCAACCTGCCCAATTGGCAGTCTACCAGGCTGGAACTTGGTCAACTAGACACAGTAGATTGTACCTTTTCCTCAAGGCTTTGCCTGGACCAAGGAGGACAAATCTTGGGTGCCAATTTGAATAACAATTCCCAAGATCTCTAGAGCTCATAGGAAGCTAATCAAATGCTTCTGCAAGGGAGACTATTCAAACTGTTAACATGGCAAAACCAACGTGAAATGTGCATACCCTTGGAGACTATTCCAATTGTAAATGTGGACCACATACCCCCTTTGCAAGTGCAAATATAACAAGTATCACAGAGACAATGAGAAACTGGTTTTAGTAATGTAGATGTTTGATTAGAAGAACTCCTAAGGATAAAACTTAATTAACAGATCACTAAATCTAGATTGTTGATTTTATTATACATATCCTAGATATAATAAAAATCTATGAGAACATCATAATGTCCAAAATCAAGTTCCCTGACTTTAAACACACCTATTTAGATATGAAATGGGCCTTGCTGTGACTTTTAGAACCTAAGATTGTGACTTCTGACCATAAATGTCAGCCATCTTGGATTTTAGTGTTCTACATGGATACTAGGTAAAATTCAGGTGGGTTCCTAGCCTAAAAGTAATTATTAGGACCCACAGGAGACTTACACAAAATTTTGTCTTAATCCAACAGGTAATATAATTTTGCTACACCACATGAACATATATGCTAAGGTTGTGTTATCCTTTTAAAGGCTTTATATTTATCATGTTTTATTACACATTATAAACAAATTGTATGTTTAATTGTGTTAGTAGGTTTTTAATTCACTTTTGAAACTATTTTCACTAAAACAAATTATGAATGGAGCCAAGTTATAATTAAAATTATTTTTATCTATCCATCTAACACTTT